GTCTGTGAGACTGTCCTCAATTCTTTTCATTCTTTTTTCTTTATTCTGCTCTGTGGTAATTATTTCCACTATTTTATCTTCCAGGTCTCTTGTCCATTCTTCTGCCTCAGTTCTTCTGCTATTGATTCCTTCTAGAGAACTTTTCATTTCATTTATTGTGTTGTTCATCATTGTTTGCTCTTTAGTTCTTCTAGGTTCTTGTTAAACGTTTCTTGTATTTTCTCCATTCTAGTTCCAGGATTTTTGGATCATCTTTACTATAATTACCCTGAATCTTTTTCAGGTAGACTGCCTGTTTCCTCTTCATTTGTTTGGTCTGGTGGGTTTTAACTTGCTCCTTCATCTGCTGTGTATTTTTCTGTCTTCTCATTTTGCTTAACTTACTGTGTTTGGGGTCTCCTTTTCGCAGGCTGTGGGTTCATAGTTCCGGTTGTTTTTGGTGTCTGCCCCCAGTGGGTAAGGTTGGTTCAGTGGGTTGTGTAGGCTTCCTGGTGGAGGGGACTGGTGCCTGTGTTCTGGTGGAGGAGGCTGGATCTTCTCTTTCTGGTGGGCAGGACTGCATCCGGTGGTGTGTTTTGGGGTGTCTGTGAACTTATTATGATTTTAGGTAGCCTCTCTGCTAATGGGTGGGGTTGTGCTCCTGTCTTGCTAGCTGTTTGGCATGGGTTGTCCGGCACTGTAGCTTGCTCGTCTTTGAGTGGATCTGGGTCTTAGCATTGAGATGGAGACCTCTGGGAGAGCTCTCGCTGATTGATATTACATGGGGCTTGGCGGTCTCTCGTGATCCAATGTCCTGAACTCGGCTCTCCCACCTCAGAGGCTCAGGCCTCATACCCGGCCAGAACACCAAGACCCTGTCAGCCAAACGGCTTTGGAGACTGGTATCATGAACACTTACTGCTGTATCCTTGTGTTCAATAGTCAAACATGAGGTGACTTGACTTAGCAAATGTCTTCTAAACTTCATGTTTTCAGTGTTGCTTGAGACATGACATTCATAATTATCTATCTCCCAAGCCTTCAGTAAAGAGTCATAAGATGTACGGTAAATCCTTTTAATTAGTCAGTTTTCCTACCACATGCATGTCATGGTGAGGTGACTTAGATTTCAGTATTATTCAAAGAGAGTGTGTAAGCCGGAAATTCAGCCCCCAAATACTGTGGTTCCTCCTTGTTGCATGGGGTGCTGTGAAAATCCCCGTATTATCTTGGCTGATAAGCTCTTCCTTGAGCTTGCAATACAAGAACCTGTCCAATCTCTTAAAAGGTTACACTTATCTCAAAGAAACATGAGAGGCTACTGTGAGTGTGCACGTGTGTGTGTAACCACACTCATGGGGAAGCATTATCTCCAACACTCTTCCTCAGAGTTAATCAGCTCTGATAAAGTGATTTGTCAAAATGAAATGTCATTTCTGAGAATACAATTTTACATGCACCAATGGTCAGCCACAAAAATGTATTTATAAAAAAATGGAATAACCCAGTTTTGCTTAATGAGTAAATACTCATTCAAACATGAGGCCACCTCTATGGCAAGTCACAGCAGACACTTCTGACACAGGTTACTTTACTGTAGTGAGAAAGATAAAAGAGCATTTGTGGAGGTACAGCTAACCCTCATTGGTAAGTTAGAGCAATTTTAGATCCCTGTTCTAGACTCCATGTTGATTTTTTAAAAATAGCTAGGATTGATCCTGACTTAGAAAATAACATAATAGATGTGCTAGAAGGAATGAAGGAAATGGATTAGAGTAACTGTTAAAAAAGAGTGGACTGAACAATTCTATAAGGTGCATGATCTAACTCACTGTGTCCAGCAGGAGGGACATGGTGGTTCTGGGAAATCTGAAAGGAACAGGGAAGAGAGAACGGGAAAATTCTTCTGGGAGAGTGAAACTGCATGAAATCTCCACATTATTAGCGCTGCCCTCATTTCTTTCGCTGGGGCAGTGATGTCTCAGCATCAGTGTAGCTCCATCCATTAATCGCAATACTGAGGAAGGAGCAGAAGTGTCCACACAGGCTGGGGCCTCACTACTAGGTTGAGCTCCATGCTGGCCGCAGTGGACAGAAAGCATGCACGGAGGGCTATTCCCTCGACTTGATAATTCACTCTATGACTCCAGAGAAAACATCATGAAGATTTAGAGGGCTTGGCAACTCCACAACGAATGTTTCTGCAGACCCTTGTGTGATTATCATGGAACTGCAGGTTACCAGTAGGCTGGACCACAAAGCCTTTAGGTTTGTACTTGTTTTTCTGCTCATTTGAGAGACCCACAAATTCCTGTTTTCTTATGACTCTGGACCCGAATCTTAGAGCAAACTAAGAAGCAAACATTTCTTTTCTGGGAGGCAAAGAGCTAACTGTAGTAGAAATCTTCAGTTTCTGCCAGTGTAGTAACTAGGGTATTTTATACACCTCACACAATGCAACAGTTTTCTGTTATTAGTAGTAACGGCTAAAAACAAATGTTCTGAGATTACCTAAGAGTTTAGCAATAAGCACAAGCCAGTTTTATACATTAGTGGGATCTAGCTTCAAAACTGTTGGATTAGGGAATGTGAGATAGTGACTGATTAATCTCCAAATCTGAATTTTAAATTTGTTGGTGCTGTGAGCAGAACTGGTGACTTGCTTGTGATCAACGGAATATGGCAAAGGTAATGGGAAGCCCCTCCCTTGATTACGTTATGTTGTATAATACTCTGTGTTTTGCTAGCAGACTCACTCTAGGGTGTCCTCCTCCTTTTCTGGCTTCAAAGAAGCAAGTGTCCAAGGGTCCTACACAACCACAAGAAGATGAATTCTGCAAACAACCAAAGAGAACTTAGAAGTGGATTCTTGGGACTTCCCTGGTGGCGTGGTGGTTAAGAATCTGCCTGCCAATGCAGAGGACATGGGTTCGATCCCTGGTCCGGAAAGATCCCACATGCCGCAGAGCAACTAAGCCTGTGCGCCACAACTACTGAACCTGCACTCTAGAGCCTGTGAGCCACAACTACTGAAGTCTGTGCGCCTAGAGCCTGTGCTCTGCAACAAGAGAACCCACCGCAATGAGAAGCCTGTGCATCGCAATGAAGAGTAGCCCCCGTTCTCTGCAACTAAAGCCCATGCACAGCAATGAAGACCCAACACAGCCAAAAATAAATTAAAAAAAAAAAAAAAAGAAGTGGATTCTTCCCCAGTCAAGCCTCCAGATGATACCCCAGGCCCAGCTGACACCTTGATGGTAGCCTTATAGAGAGGACCCAGTAAAACCATGCCTGGACTCCTGACCCACAGAAACCGTGAGATAATATATGCATGCTGTTTTGTGCTGTTAATTTGTGGTAATTTGTTATTAAAGCAGTGAAAAGAAGATACAGATTTTGGTTCTAGAAATAGGGCACTGCTGTCACAAACACCCAAGTATGTGGGAGTGGTTTGGAAAAATTCTGAGGAGCATAATAGGAGGAAAAGAAAGCTGAAAATGTGTAACTCCCTTGATAATGTAGAATTTTATAAAAATGAATGGGGCTTCCCTGGTGGCACAGTGGTTAAGAATCCACCTGCCAATGCAAGGGACACGGGTTTGAGCCCTGGTCTAGGAAGATCCCACATGCCACGGAGCAACTAAGCCCGTGCGCCACAACTACTGAGCCTGCGCTCTAGAGCCCGTGAGCCACAACTACTGAGCCCCGTGCCACAACTACTGAAGCTCACATGCCTAGAGCCCGTGCTCTGCAATGAGAAGCCACCGCAATGAGAAGCCTGCGCACCGCAACAAAGAGTAGCCCCTGCTCGCCACAACTAGAGAAAGCCCACGCGTGGCAACGAAGAGCCAATGCAGCCAAAAATAAATAAATTAAAATAAATAAATTTTAAAAAAAATTGTAAAAAAAACCCAAGAAAGAATGAGCCCTCACTGCTGAGGACAGAGAAACCCGAAAACACTAGGTTTGGTAAACACAGCAAACATGGACAGCATGGTGACTCTAATTAATAATAGAAATAAATGTATAGTATTATATATTTAAAACTTGCTGAGAGTAAACCTTAGAAGTTCTCATCACAAGAAAAAAAACTGTGACTATGTATGGTGACCGTGGTACCCAGCTTTATTGTGGTGATCATTTCAGAATATATACACAATATCAAATCATTACGTTGTACTGAGAAAATAATATATGTCAATTATACCTCAATAAAAATTTCAGAAAAATAAAAGAGTGAACTCTTTGGACACAAAGTAAGCATATCAGATGCAGGCAGATCAATAAAGGGTTAATTTTCATATCAAAAAAGTGTTAATTTTTCTCAACACGTTTCTTTGGATTGGCTTTAAACACAATGAAAATGATGCTTCAGTTCCTAAAATGAATACTTAGTACTGACAGTAAGGACAAACTGAGAACTCCTTCAGAGATAAATGATAAGACTGACTCCCCCCAGTAAAACTAAGCTCTGTGGTCAAATCTAGTAATTTTCTGAGGAAGAATAAAACATTTTTTTTTTAGAGATTTTGAAAAGTCCAGAAGTGAGGTAAGAAATGCCAGCGAATGCATTTAGGCGTTAGGTGGGTGGTTGGTAACAGAAAGGCTGATTCTTAGTCCCCGGCATGCGAGCAGCTGGATGTCAATGAGCTGCAGGAACACTCACTGCCCTACAGACCCAGCTGCTAACCTGCTCGTCTCTGGAGAGGATGTGAGGCAGAGGTGTCTCTCTGGTAATTAAAAACCCCCAGAAACACTGGGATTATAGCACAGCCTCTCTTCTAACAGAAAAACGAAAACTTTGAAGATGAGATTCTGTGATACTCGTTGTACTTTTCAAGGCCTGCACAGGCAACCAACCATTTATCTACACGTATTTTGTTCCCCATCTGTCTACACTTTTTATCCTGGAAAAAGACAGGCTTTCTCTACCCTGAAGATGAATGAGGCCTTTGATGTCATGCAAATGTTAGCTCTGGGCCAAACGCGTACAATCCTGAAAGTAGTACACTTAGAGAATAAGAGGTTTAAATGCATTTACCATTTTTATTTTGCTATGCGGAAACATACATTCACCATGGCTGTGCGATGCGGTTGACAGTGAAATGGAGAATATAACTTTTTGAAGGCTATTTATAACTAAACACTCAATAGTTTTATTACAGTGGAAATTCTGTACAGTTTAAGGCTTGGCTCTGAACTAGACTGCAAATATGGACCAGATTTGGAAATAAAACACTTTTTTTCAAGTGAAAGAAGAAAAATCCATTAAAAAAAATACAAGGACGAAGAAATGAAGGAAGAAAACAAAGCAACAGAAGCCCAACGGGTTTTCCCGGAGTGAAATTTCATCATACGGTGAACTAACAAAAATACAGGTTTTCTTTCCAAACTAATGACAATTTACATATTTAAGACTTGTTAGGGAACTCTGGGAAGCTTTCCAGACTGAACACAGACCAAAGCGGACGACGGGGAAGAAATCACATTAATACGCTAAAGTCAGTACTACTTTATAACGGTCAAATTAGATTACACAAAGCAGGATTGTGAGCGTTAAATATTTCCAGAGGATCGGAGAGTCGTTACTGCTGACAGGTGAGAGTAATAAACCAGAGGAAACAAGTACAAGATTCAAGTTATTTACTGAATAAACTCGGTTACTGGCACATCTAATCTGGGAAAAACCTGACACACTGGACTAGACAGCTTCCAGCAGTTTAGGGTAATCTTTGTTGATCTGTAAACAAAAGATCTGTCACCTAAGAAACTGCAATTTTGTTTAGACTTTAATAATCATCAGCTATGAAAGGCATGGATTGTTTTATGTGTTACATGAGATCACGGTTTCTATTGTTGGTTATGAACGTGCAGGTGTAGCTGAGAACTTAGACACTGTGTGAAACGTAAAAATGCTGCTTGTTTTGTAATTGTATCGTTGCTTCATGCAATATCAGTTTAGTGATGCTGACTCAGATTGCTTTATTATGGGAAGATCTCTGCCAGTGTCTTTATTAAATGGTCAAGGTCAGTTCTTCTGGATTGAAATTGTCCATGGGCAGATACAAATCAGTGGGTTAGAAGAGGAAACTCCATATAGACTCTGGTTTTTCTAATGGTTTGCATGACTGGCTTCAGGTGCAGCCTAGGTTATTCCTGTAGAAAAGAGATTTGATCAGTTACTCATTTGAAAACATCTGAGAGTTTCCCTCAGATCGAGGTCATGGGAAAAGTATCTTGTACGGGTATAAAATGCCCTTTTTGACAAGATACTGTAAAATACCAGTGTACGTCACTGATAGGCTTTCTCTGAAATAACCACATCGTCACCCAAGTGGCTGAACTCGCTGAAGAGAACATTTTTGGTTTTTTCTTTTTGCTTTCTATCTTCCAAACTACCTTCTTAATTTGAATATAATGAGTGATGTTTATATTTTTTCCCTTTGAGAGAAGCCACTCATCAATCAACATTAACCAACGTTAGAGAACGTACTTATTTCATTTATACATGTAAAGCATTTAAGAGACTTTTATCACATAACCAAGTGTGCAAGGAGCTGCATTCAGCATTCAAAGCCTTCCAGGGATGCTCAGGGCCCCTCGAGTTCTCGAGGGGCGGGTTAGTATGCATGACAAGTCTGTGCACACACAGAAGATGCTGTCTGCTCATGATGTCGGCCAAACAGTGGCTGGAAAGGCACGCGCTTTCTGGAGGAAAGCAGGACCACAAGACTGCATTTTTGCTTCCTCCTGAGACACAATACTACACTCGGGAAAAAAATCATCCCAAAGAATACAGGAAATAGATGACATCCACAATGAGAGTGAGTGCTCTGGTCTCAAAATTGTAAAACAAAGCAAAAACAAAAACATAAACAGGCTAGCACCAAACACGGTGGAAGAGAAAGCTTATAATGGGATAATGTTGCCAACAGAAGGGGAAGAGGCTATATTTTATTTCCCTAGTATTTGGAACACACAAATTGCACCTCTCAGAACAAAACCATCTTAGCTCTGATTAGGCTACATGGCAAGTGAAACCAGATCCGACCTTTCAAATGTGGATAATGAGAGGAGCACAGAGCATGCATTAAGAGGGAACATGCGCAGGCCCAGGCAAGCGGACTCTGCTTTCTCTTTATCCTCTAACTGGCACGGGGAGGTAAAAAGTCCACAGTATGGAGCCTCCAACTATGAAACAAAGCAGCAGCCGCAAACCAATTTTCCATCCTCTTGATACCCAGCGCCCTGCAAATGCCAGTGAGAGAAAAAGGAGAGGGAAGAGGCAGGGGGAGGGAGAGAGAGAAGCCCTGGGCCACATGCCAGCCGAGGCCAAGCCTAGAGAACCAGCGCCACCTCTTACCTGGGCTCAATCCTCTCCATCTTCAGGGGTGATCTCTGTCTCTTTATGGACCACTACTTTGGTCACTGACATGTCAGGGTGCTGCTCTTTGGCCTCTTTAATTGCCTGAGCCAGTGCCTATCCCCAGGAAATCACAGAAGGGCAAAGACAAAAAGGAGGCGGGACGTGCAAGATCAGAGCCAGGTGGAGACTCATGAGCAAGATCTATATACACAATTTACAAGTGGGATACAATGACTGCAAAGGGGGTCATACGCTGCATACTGCAAAGTTAATTCAGAAAACTGTTTAGACTACAGGCTGGACTAGAAGGACAGCTCTGGGAAGAGTACGACCAGCTAGTGTTTCTCTGTCTCCCCGCCAGGGTATCTACCCGCTCTCACACGCTACCTGGTCATGGTCAATGTCTGCGTCTCCCGTGATGACGATTCGCTTCTCGATTCTCGTCTCTGAAATGCCTCCTTTCACAGTCTGAAAGCAACACATAAGCATTATGAATTTACCGTCACTGCTGACTGGGGGAAACGGCGGAAAAGGCTGACACAGCTTTAAGTTGCATCATTCATTCTTTAAGAATTGAAACAGAATCCTATGGCAGTTATTTACAATTGTTAATTTCAGAAGTGAAGCCAGAATAGAGTCCTTCGGATTTTGGCTGGCTGGTGTTTCTGAACATCTACCATATGCTATGCACTGGAGTTAAGGGTTATGCAAAGGGCATCGGAATGCATATTCTTAAACGGAACCTGGCATGTGAGGACAAATGCACCACAAATACAGCAGCCGTGAGAGCTCCAATGCAGCTGCCTGGCATCCTGCTATTCACCTATCTGCTTGTGCGGCCCAACCCAGAAGCTCTGAACGGATACCTTCCTGTATCCGTTCCCACTCCACTTACTTTGGTGATGTGGGTGGTGGTCGTGGTGCTAGTGGTTTCAGATGTGATCGTCTGTGCGCTCATGAGCACACCTGGCTCCAAATCAGCACCAAGATCAACCTAAGCAAGCAAAGGGGGAGACGCCACACTTGAATATTGATGTTACCTCTCCAGACGTCTGCTATCTTGGTTTAGGGCATGACGATGAGTTAATTATCTGCACAATCACTGTGCTGTTCCATCAGCATCTGGGAGCTGCCACAGACTAAGGACTGAATCAAACTTGGCCATTGTTAACCCTCATTAAAAAGTTGGGACTTCAGGAACGTGAGCAGGGGCTGGTTGAGCTAGTGTTCTTCCTTATCTATGGCCAGGGAGATAGATTTCTGAGCCTCTTTCAAGTTATGTGAAGACCTGCTTAAGTCACCTGCTCTTCCTTGATCGGTAATAAAATTACGGTTACTGCACCATTCTTGATAGAGACAGTTGGGTCCTCTGAGTCTCACAAATTAAATATCACGTAGTGACACTTAAATGCACGAAGCCATTCAAGGGGTAAAACAGGTGCCAGGGCTCTGGCCTTCATAGACTGTCTTACCTGTGATGATTCATATGTTATGGTTTTTGTTTCTGTGTGAACTACAGGCACTTCCTTGGTGGAAATTTCTAGCTTTACTCCTCCTGGTGAAACACTGCCAAAGCTGATGGTTTCTGTCTTCACAGTTGATGACTATACCAACGGGAAGCAGGCAGAGTGGCTATTAAATTTTGCAAACACATACCTTTGTTTTTTTCCCTCCCTTCTTGGTGGATATATATAAGCACAGGTTGGTATGAAATAAATGTTTACATTTTACATGAGGGTCCGTTGGGGAATGAGGCACACAACAGATACATGTCAGTCTCCCAGAATTCATATGGAATGTTCCAGGTACAAGAAAATATTTCGAAGGAAACTGAAAAAACCCACTTTTTTACATTCCCTCTCCTGTATCTCATAAACTAATGTTAATAGATTAAAAAATCATAAATTAGACTTTTATTGAAAACTTATTAGACAGAAGGAACAAGTAATAAGACACTGAACCACCACCCCTCACCCCGCCCCCATGTACCTCAGGAATTTCAATGAAAGAGAATAAAGAATAAATTCTAGCACTTGGTGCCTGGGCAAGCCTGGTTTTGGTCCTTCTGGATAAGTACACTGATCAGAAATAAATTTATCAAGTTTTCTAATATCCTGGCAGGCTATGCATCTCCCAGGTTCATTGCCAGTTACGGTAATTGCAAAGAGAGTGGAAACCATTTCCTGGAACTTTAGATCGTGAATAATCATTATATATGTTTGCATGGGACACCAGACCAGCATGGAGACCCCCATAATTGCCATGCAAGAAGGCAACAAGAGGAGGAACAAACTGCTCTTGGAAAAGGAAGAAAATTAAACCTAGCCCTGCCTTTATGCTTAGCTAAATTTCAGGGACTTACTTCAGCACTAAAAGTAACATTAACCGCTAGTTACCTCAAAATGAGGTTTTTGTTCCGAAGCTTCAGAAACGTGGATGGCTGCACTCTGCTCCTCCTCTGGCTCTTGGGAAGCAGCTGCCACCTCTCCCTGCTCGAGGACAGCTTTGTCGGCCACCTCCCCTTTTTCCTCCTTCGCTCCCTCAGTCAGAGCAGAGACCTCCTTCCCTTTCACATCAGATACATCAGCAGATGCTGCCTGGGTCACAGCATCCATGTCATCTCTAGCTGCGTAAGAAGAATCCCCACTCGTATGCACATTCATCACATGTCTTTCCTCCACCAATGCCGTTTCCTGCACAACCTTCTGGGTGCTAAGTGGCTGGGGATGCTGGGTTGTTTCCGTCTCTATTTTGCCAGACTCCATCTTGGCTTCCATTTTCTGCACGGAAAATAAATTGTGGTGTCAGTGTGACTTTCCACAAAGCAAAGGTCAGAAAGCAAAAAAAAAACAACAACAAAAGCAGCCACTCACCAGGGTACCTAAAGCCAGTACCAGTGCTTATAACGAGCAACGCTTAGAGAAAATATAAATTAGCTTTCATTCCCCCCACCAGAGTCTTTGATGCCTGCCCTCTGCCTGACACATAGCCTCGAACCTGTGCTGCTTCTTCGGATGTTGCAAAAGAAACAGGAGTGCAGTATAAAACGCAATTAAAAAACCAAAACAAAATGAAAGCATTGGAGCACATGCATATTGATTTTGGCTGCTTCCTTAGACCTAACCGGTGACATAAAATGCTTTAAGAAATTAAATGCTGTTAAAACGTCTCAGCACGATTGCTTTCTGAACATCTGAAGTATGTTCTTGTAATGGAACTAAAGACACGTGATGCAAACGTGGGACAGGCACAGAGGGGTGTAAGTGAAGACCCCTCTCAGGTGCTTAAAGCAAAGCCACTTGGATGCAACACACACACACCCCAAAAAGGCACAAAGAAAAGGCAAAGAGGCAGAGACAGAGACACCGAGGATGGAAACAAATGGCCACCTGCACCCAGCTTTGAGAAGTGGAAGCAACCCCTCCTATGAATTCTGTCGGTTTTCTCGCAGACTCTAATAAGCTGAAGATTTCAGAGCCATCCATGAGCTTTTCTCCAGAAGACTGTTTAGTCTGAGTGAACAGAGAAATGGAGAGTCAAGCACAGAGGTCGGGACACAGGAGGGCATGTACTCATTCCCTGCTGGTTAGACAGAACTGCAGGCGCGGGACCCAGGGCGAGGGATGGAGGGATCTACAGACAGATTTGGAAACACACAGGGATGGGAAATCAACAGCAAATCGGGGTGAGCAGGGGCTCTGGTTTGGTAAAGCGGAGAGAGTTCCTGGGGTTAGGGCGGTGCTGGGTGAAGCGGATCCTTTCACCCGGCACCGGCGCCTCAAGCCCCGGCAGCACCACCCCACCTCGGGGACAAGAGCTGGAAATAAAACGGCAGGTATCTCAATGCTCACGTCAGACCGCGGTAGTGACTTAACCACGAAAACAACAAAAAAGCTTGGGTTGGCGGCTCTCAACATAAGCCAAACAGCAAGAGAAATGGACAGGCTCGGGGTGGAAGGGCTGCCTTGGCAAACGTCATGCTGGAATCGGAAACGGCGGCCCAAAGGCAGCACCGGTTACCACGACTTGGGACGTGGCCGACTCTGTGACAACGTATTGGGTGGTGGCGACGGTGATGGCCGGTTCCTGGGAGTATCTCCACGTGGACAGGCTCTTCCTGCGGGGGCTGAAGGGCCCCACCTTCAAGGTCTCGGCCTCGGCCTCGGCCTCGGCTCTGCCCAGCCGCTCGCCCTCCAGACTGGCATCCCTCCCGGGCACGTGGCTTTTCTCAAGAGCATCATCCTCGGGGCTCTGCAGCCGGGACTCGGCTTCCCTGATGGGGGCCAGCGACTCCGACAGCCTCTGCTTTGGAGTGTGGACCTCAGGCCCCCTCCTGGTCCTGTCCTCGGTGAGGACTCCCAGGACCTCGAACTCTGCCAGGACACGGGGGGTCTTCACGGGCTCGGCTAGCCCTGGCTCAAGAGGGGAGGGGGACACCACCTTCTCCCCTTCTTTGACTTTTCCTGTCATAGTGACAATTTTTCCAGACACGGTATCGTAGGACTTTCCGAGTGTGTATATTTTCTGTTTGTTCTCTTCCTTCAAGTGCATTTCTCGGGCCAAGTCTTCAAAGCTCTGCACTTCAGTGGCGCTAGATCCTAACGAGTCGGCGGGGATGTCATCAGTTCTAGTGCTCACGGTCACCACCTTGTACGTCACAATCTTTTTCGAATCACCATCAACTACCTCAGTGGGTATTTTGTCTACAATAACCCAGTCCTCTGTGCCCTATATTTGGAATATAAAAGCTAAGTTAGAAGTTCTGATGGTATCTCATTTCTAAAATAAGAATCCTTTAAGGCAATCAGGGTGAGAGCTACACTCAGGCCTGGGAGGTGACTGCACAGGGCTGGGGTTATTTTTATTAATTATGGCTGCAATCTCTTCCCATCTGAAATTTATTAACTCTAACCTGCAACTTGGAATACGGTCTGCGTGCAGACTCGCAATTTCAGATTTCTTGAAATACTTTGGTGGTAAATTTTGCAAAGACTATATCTGGTCTTATGCTAAATGTCTGATCATTTCGTATATCAAGATTAAACAACATATTTGAAGCTGCTGTACAAGTTATTTAGCTTTACTTGTGTGGACACAGAAAAGACAGTTTTCCATGTGAAACAGAACACTGTGCTTCTCATCTGTTGTTCTCACAAAGAACGTGCCAGCATTTCCACAAATTTCTGTGAAAACCATTTTCCATGTTTGTGAATTACACTTCCTTATATGGGAGACGGAATCCACTCTAGCACTTATTATCCAATAAGTATTCAGTGCACCTGTGTTCCAGGCATTGTAATGAACTACTTCCCACTGTTAGGACACTGTCGGAGCCTCTTAGAAATAGGTCACAGTGGTCTGTACACTGTTCCGATTTTATTTACAACCGAAGTTCATCGTCTCAGGAGTTTCTTTGCCAGTTTCCTTAGTGTTAGTTCCAATAAGGCAGGAGAAATGCAAGTTATGAAACTTCTGTATTTGGGGACCCTACCAGGACGTTAGGAGGTAACTAGTCTAACAGGTTACAGAGGGAAGAGAAACCAAGCCAGGAGCAAGGGAGCACCTTGGTTTACATTTTAAACTTGGACGTTTGCTACTTTCGTATTTATCCTAGCCTGAATCTAGAAACAGGTGGGCCTTAAGAAAAAGGATTACAGATCCATCTATAGGCTGGTGCCGGATTAAACAAGATGAATTGAAAAATAACCTCTAGGGTCGATGGGACAGTTTTCTGGAAAATGATTTGACGAGAGGTAACCACAGGGCCTCCTTCCTGAATATTCTTTATCACACTCGGCTAGTGGGAAAACCAATAAAAGTTCAGAACTTTCAAAATCAGTCAAGGTCATCTAAATTAGCATCACTCTATGGGTGAAAGGTCCAATAATATCATTACCAAGTATAATCATAATGCCTCAATGACCACACACAGATATAATCACCTAGGAGCAAAAGCCACAAAGAAATGATAGCTAACGGATAACTAAATTAGTAACAAAACTCCCTACTTCCCTCCCCAGAACCTAAGCAAAAATGATATACCTACCTTAGTGGCAAACAAGGTAAATTTTAGAAAGGAAGGAAAAACTACAGACATTTTAATGACACTGAAATCTAAAGAGCAATTTCCTTCTGGAAAATTCCTTAGTGTTCGTTTTTTACCTGAGACTCAAAGAATGGAGAGCTTCCTTGCTGCAAAAATAGAACCTTTTCAGAAATCTCTCTTTCTTCTTGGGTCTGTTTGAATAAAGGGGGGTGGGTTGGGGAAGAGGAAGCAGACAGTTTCCAAAAAGGCAAGTTAGGAAGAGAGTTCTTTTCTTGTGCCACACATAAAACACTCGTTCTTTTTTTTTCTGAAGAAGTAAATTAGTGCCTATTAATTTGGAAAATGGTCTGAAGCCATCTCAACATTTAACAATTATTTCCAAAGAGTAACAGATTATGTTTTGAATCTCCGGTGTTTTTAGGATTCAAACATTTCTCACTTTTACAAACACAGAATGTGCAAGAGTGGCATCAAGAGCTTTCTGGCATTTCAGTAGTGTTCATATGTCAGTGATCTGCAATACTGTAAAAGTGAGTATTAAAATGAAAGTGTTGAGATTTAAAAAAAATTAAGTTAGGAATAAATTCTCACTTCCATGTCTGACAAATTCTTGATCATATTCCCTACTGAAGTGCCGCCTGATACAGAGAAAGGAAATACACATGGGTCACTGCATTAGCTACTAATCTGAGAAACCCAGTTATGCCTAGATTGATGCCTTTATTCCACAAATAAACATAAGGTTATAGCTTTATTTGAACTTTTATAACATGGCAAGTAATCCTGAAAAGTCAACTTCAGAATATCCTGGTGAAGAATTAAGTATTTGAAGTCATACTTGTCTTTAACATATAAAATTTAAAAGGACATTAAATATGTTATGTTAGAACAGCTTTTTTTCCTTTCATCTTTTTATTGCTTCCTTTAGTATTACATAGGCATAATTCAAGGGGCACTACGTGAGCTACCGAGCCTGTCTCTGTGTACAGCACACGACTACACAGAATAGTGAACAAAAGGATATTTTGGTAAAGTCGTCTAAAAAGAATAATAGAAAAGTTCGAAGTTTCTAGACAAATGGAACTTTGAAAATAAACCCTCTTGTTGATGATAAGCAATATAATTTTATGAGAGGTATTTAAACTTCCTAGGTATGTATCTACAAAGCTATCAGTACTATATTTAATCGTTTGCCTGCAAGAAGTTACAGAGGAGCATCTGGAATGTTATCTGCAATGACCTGCTGACAGATTTTGATAGCATCGTCCTCATATGCTCCTTTTAAATGAGGAACAAATAAGACATTTCAAAGGGGGAAAAAAAAAATCCCCGTCCTGCCCCATTTTGGAGAAAGATATTGCAAGAGACAAAATGTACCATGTGGAATCATTCAATGTGGATTTATTTTTTAAACTTTCAATCATAGCCTCTTTTTTAAACAGAAATAAGAAACAGGAAGTCAAAATTATAGACACTTTTCAGAATACCACGGCTAGGCCTCTAATTATAATCACTGAACTAAATATTTTCCTACAATGAAAGCTTAAAAAATCAACAGCAGAGGTTTTCAGCATATCCTGTTATCTGACATCAACTAATTTTAAAAACGTCTGTGTCTGTAAGTAAAAATGTCCACACTGTCTGCATCCAGAACTGTGCATACCCCATAATAATGGAAAAGGGTAACATAAGGGGATAGATGTTATCATTAAATCCTGTATACTGTCAACCCCAATCCAGTGAGTTCTGCTAAAGTTAAGAGGTACTGATAAAGAAAAGCTGATAATCGAAACATTTACTAGGGGTTAAGACAGAGTCAGATGCACACCCTATTTCATTTAGTTCTTTAAACGTTCATGCCTGTGTCATACTTGGGACACAAGGCCCTACAGTGGCATGCAAAATTCACAGAGGTGTTACTTGCTCAGATGATTAAGGGTCTCTACGGAGCTGTGACTTTCATTTCTGCTCGGGCCAGGGGTTCTCAAATTGGGCTGTGAATTAGAATTATGTGGAGAGCTTTTAAGTAAGAGTAATGTGTGGGGTGCACCTCTGACTAGTTAAATCAGATTCTGATGTAGAACCCAGGCATTGGTATTTTAAAAATCTTGTAGGTGACTGTAATACGCATCTAGAGTTGCACCCCAGGGTCTGAATGCAAAGTCACAGAAGTCAGATTCACAGAATGGAGATAATTCTCTCTATCCATGAATAGATGATCCATAGTGAATGTATATTTTGCCCAATTTAAGGCCCATCCAAGACCTGAATAGCAAAAGTAAAGCTGGACAAGAAAGCAGAAAAAATGCATAAAGAGAGTTGATTCTAGTTATTCGTGGCAGTTGTGTTCTATAAAGTCGCTGTGAACACTGAATTACTGAGTACTGAACCATAGCTCCTAGGGGAAAGACAGGGTCAGGTTCCTGGGAGCTTCTGGTCATGAAATTTTCGTCAACTGATCAATGCATAACCTTGTTTTATATGTGTTTCTGTTTAAAGACCCCTTATTTAATACCTATTATTGATCCATTAACATCAAACTCACAGCCAGCAGCACTATGACTTATCCTGAACAAAGCGTATCTGACACACCTATTTTCCTATAAGGCACATCTCAGCCTTCTTGCATTTGGGAACACTAGACAGCACTTCAGCACTATGCCTGGAGGTCATTTTAAATAGCAAAATCACCAACAAAAAACACAAAAAAGCAAAAATGTGGCACTAAACAGGCTGTTGCCTGTTCACCTTACCTGGGAAGGTGTGCCTTGAGCAATTTTTTTTTTTAAATCACACTGCGCCTGTGAATTATCGTGAAAGCGCTGTTAATAATTGATTTTAGGGTTACAATAAGTTTTAGTGAGTAGGTGAATTTGCACAATAAGGAATCTATGAATAGGGAGAGTTGACTGTATTCAGCTTACATACCAGTAAAACCACCAGCCACCTTAAAAAAAGAGCACAGTACTGGCATGGCATAAGTGCTAACGTGTATTGCACTGTGGTTGGGATTTGGAAACTTTTAATATTCAAGTAACCATGAAGGAATATCTGTCCAATATGGACTAGGCCTAGGTATACCACAAAAGGTTGTCATGGGAAATATCTGTGGACAGAAGATGTACCTGAAACCCTTCACATCCCATCCATCTATCCTACGCTTGGAGGGCCCTGTATGTGGGTTTGCCTGTTTCCCAAAGTTAATGATGATTTGCTATTATTTGCTTCTTTGGGGCATCATTGCTACTTGTCTCCAGTTAACTCAAACATTTGAAACTTGAAACCACTGGCAATAAAATTCCCATTTTGTAATAAACATAACATCATATTCTTAGAATATAATCACCATTACTAGCTCACTATATTTCTAACTCCTAACTTTTCTCTAATTGGTCATAAACTGGTTGCATAGAAATAGATTTACTTAGGGTTTGACCACCACAGATAAAGAAAAAAGGTGGCCACATTAAAAATCAGGAGTCATGGGCTTCCCTGGTGGCGCAGTGGTTGAGAATCTGCCTGCTAATGCAGGGGACACGGGTTCGAGCCGTGGTCTGGGAGGATCCCACATGCCGCGGAGCAACTAGGCCCGTGCGCCACAACTACTGAGCCTGCGCGTCTGGAGCCTGTGCTCCGCAACAAGAGAGGCCGCGACAGTGAGAGGCCCGCGCACCGCGATTTAGAGTGGGACCCGCTTGCCACAACTAGAGAAAGCCCTCGCACAGAAACGAAGACGCAACACAGCAAAAATAAATAAATTAATTAATAAACTCCTACCCCCAACATCTTCTTTAAAAAAAAAAAAAATCAGGAGTCATCACATTTTTTTCAACACAACATTGTATCACTGAGATTCCCCCTCAAATCCAACTAAGTGTGGCGTCACTGAATCAGTTTCTTTACCCTTCTGACACAAGCAATATTACTTTGAGAAGTCACTTTAAAAAATTAAGTTACATATTTTCTTTTAGAAATAATTGGACCTCTTTCTAAACTGGCCAATTATTGTTTAATTAATTTAAAGTGGGTCATATTAAATAAAAGGATAACATCAAATGAGTAATTTACTTAGAAAAACACCTCCCCTCTAAAATGAAAATCTTTTGTTTAGGTGTTTTTAAACAAATATGCTTTGTGTATGCGTAGCTGGCTGGGAGGATAAAATTATCTTTTGTGCTTTTCACAAAACCAATAACAAAAGCCAATATTAAGTTTTAATATAGAAATGAACAAGAATTTGGAGCATAAGAGCTTGCCGGGCTGTCTCCAGGGCCCTCAAATGGAGGATAAACTGGGTGTCATCAAGGGCCCCGGGAGAAGGGTCAGATGGGAGCCCCAAGGCGAGGGAAGCGCGCGTAGCCCTGACCTCCCAGAAGGGACCTCTCTTCCTCTGGGACTTGAAGCTCCTTGGAGCTGCTTTTTCAGAACCCCTTTGATAACCAGGGTCATTAGCCAGCCTTGTTTTTAAGAAGCTCTTCTTTACATCTAGCAAGTCTCCCAACAATTTCCTCCCTTCCCGGTGACAGTGGAGTCCTAAGGCACAGCTTCTGCTCACCGCTCAGCAGACACCTGAAAGCAGTTACTAAGCCAGCGGCTGGTCTCCAGTCTACGTAACCAAACCACCTTGTGCTTCTGCAGAGGTCATCTTTCCTCCATCCTTTAATCCTTTTAAAACAATCCTTTCTTAGGTCTACTGCAGTCTCTCTGCACCAACAGGGATAAGGCATCCACATTGAGGGTAAGTTCAGCGTATTCAAAGCATCACCTCTTAAGTTATTAACATTCTTTGGGGTCATCACCGTTATTCTCTAAGAATTAGAGGATTTAATAAGTGAAAAAAATTTCTTTTACTAGTCTAATGACCTAGACTTCGACAAGTCCCTTGTTTATTATCACCACCTTTAACTTCTCCAAGCAACTACCCGAACTTCCATTCAAACGGCTGCTACCTCGCGTGTCCCTGAGTGACAGCAGGGGAAGAGAGGCCTGACTTTTTCAGTGGCGATTTATTTTGTGTTTTTGTAACGTAATCCAGTATCTGCCATCTTCAGAGCCAGCACGTCCTTCCTTATTTCCAGCCCTTGTAGAAATAGGGTAAACCAAACTTGACCAGTTACAATAAAACTTATCTGACCATAACTCATAAGTGGCAGTCTTACTAATGCAGGAACTACGATCTTTAAATCACTCAGGAAAATCTGAAATTTTTGTGTCTTGAAACTCAAACAATCTGAATGAAACCGATGTTTAATGGTACAGGAATACTTTGGTCACAGGACTTTTCATTTATTCTGCATAAAAAGGCCCTTTACAAAGTAATTCAAATGGTGATATACCTTGTCATTTATTTTTAAGTGGGATTGGAACTGTCATGAACATCATGATTGCGGTCACTTTAGCTAAACAGCTTTCAAGGGAAGAAAGAATTTAATGTGATACTAGAAAGATGCCATTTTAAGAAACGACTTCTTTTGAAAGACAGATAAAGTGAGATGATGTGTAACAGCTGACAGTAAGATTAGTACCACTGCCACTGTGGGTCCCACATGATGGGAGCCTTGAAGTAACACCAGCTGAATCCTCTATCTTGCTGTACACTTAAAGAGCGATTTCCTACATGGAAGACTTACTCAAAAAGACATTCTGGCCTTTACTTTCCCTATTAAAAACCAAATAAAAACTGATTATAAGTCATAATATAATATATATGTTTATATATATAAATCAGTTAAAATAACCAATTAAAAAAATATATATATGCTATAAATAAAAATGAAATAAAAAGCTGAGTATACCCGTAAAAACCTGGTGTAGTAGTCCCAGAGTAAAGTATGCCCTGAAATGTTATCAACTTCAGAACACTGTTTAGTCAAACATTAGACAATCTCAATAGGCCTCATCTTGCAATTGATGAGAAAGTCATGAATTTTCAAGGCATTTCTTAGAGCAGCGGAAGTACATTCAGAAAAACTGTTGGTTCATTAATACAGTAGGTCAGTGTCTCCCAGCTGTGAATCTAGAATAAGCAGATCTGAACCAGAGTTTCCTTGTTCGTTCCAAAGCACCACGGGATGCGATTACTCACTCCTTGGCCACCTAACATTGTACTGGCTATACACAGAGAAGGGGTGAGATTCTCTGCTCAGAAGCCTGCCACATCCTTTCCCTGCAGACCCTGCAGAGGAGTGAGGCTAGTGACCAGAAGACAAGTGCAACCCAAAGCCTGAATACCGACCTCTTCAGGTACCAGCGGCTCGATCATGGGTGCCTCCTCCTGCCGGGCGGCTAGTCGCACGGGGGAGGTGGAAAGCCTCTTTTCCCATTCGTTCGTGATGGCAGTGTCTGTGGAGGTTTCTAAAAAGGTTCTTTTCAGCTCACTAATATTGGTCTGATGTTTCATCAGGTCATCTTGGGTTTTATCTAGCTCCTATATTCAGAACATAAAGAATCCAACAGTCAACATTTTACGTTTGTTTTCCTTTCTGTGTGCTCTCTCTCGTTTGAAAAGTTAGGTCATTATCTCATTAGTAGTCAAAATAAAAGAATTCTGATCAGGGCTCATGACACTACCACAAACACTCTGGTGAGAATGTGATATTTCCGAGGGAAAACAAAATCCAGTTCACGCAAGCATAAAAATCAAAAGTTTCAAAGGTCAACTGTTAAGAGTGTAATTCACATGTAACCAGAGAATTAAAATAAGTACACACGGAGGAAAGGGGATCTACGTCTAGGAGAGAGGAAGGAATCAGAGGAAGCTGAGAAGTCAACCGCACGTATTCACAGGTGAGAACACACCCTTCATGCATCACGGTAGGAGCCCACAGGTTAAGCCACTAAAGGAAAACCAACACACACAAGCATGCACTGGTATATACCAATACCAACCTCTAACATAAGATTACTATGTTTGACATACACATTTTCACCCTTTATTCGCTTAATCAGACTATTCTGAAAAAAGTGGAGAAGAAAGGAAGGTAAGGGACATGATAGTCACATGAACAAGTGTCATCCTCCACACTGCACCAACACACAGTCACCACCACGGAGCATGCTGCAAGATCTGAACACCACAGACAACCAATGACTTATCACACGCTGGTTTCTGCTTTTGTGTTTGATTTTGAATTTTCTACCTGTGCCTTGAGCTCTGCATCTTCCTCCTGGTCCGACTGCCAGCATCAAGAGAGAGTGGGAAATAAAGTCTTACCATGCCATCGACTCTAAGATGGAAGGATGGGTCTACATAAGCCAGCTACATGGGGGCGCTAGTTTGCTCTTATGTGAGAAGACATTTCTTTCTTATATATAAACCACAACGTTCTCACACACAAATTATGAAGCTTAATAAGAAGACAGGAGCAAAAGATTCCTTGGCCCATGGGCCTTTGACATTTTAACCTGGACACTTCCAAGCACGATGAGCCCACACGTGTGCTTGGGAGGTGACAGCTAGGACTTGGCGGGCTGTCCTTAAAAGACGTTAGCAACGGTTCAGGAAGTGGGGGAAGCCAACACTGAAATTAAAATTCACAAAAACGGCTATGAACATCCAATGATGAGCGCTCCCTTGGAGTGTACGAGTCCTCACAATAATCCTATGAGGTTAGCTATTATGATCCCCAGTTTGTAGACCAGAGAACTGAGGCACAAAGAACTTAACACAGAGGTTCCCACATTAAAACATTTCTTGGAACTTTGAATTTCTTGAACCCACCTACTCAAAAACAAATTTGGGAGAGGAGAGGGCTGATACGGATGGGGCACGTGAGGAAATTAAATAGACTACCATCAACTGCAAAAATCAACTATGGGACGCGGTCCAGAGTGAAATTATGGGTGACAAGTGGGTGATGCCAGAGCACATGGCCTTCAGCAAATGGATCACTTTGTCTGGGTCTCAGTGGGGACCAGACTCTCTAACCTACACGCCCCACCCTGCACTGCTGTTACACTGGCTCCGGAGCGAAGAGCAGGGGAAGAGCCTCTATAAGAAGCGGCAGAGGGCTGGAGGCATGCTGATTCTACAGAGGCGGTGGGTTCACAGCTCTTCATTTTATTTTCAAGCTTCATAACCTACCTACGTTATACGTCTTCGTTTGCATGCTTCAAATGCTGTGTAACAAAGTTTAAGACTGCTAGAGAAATTTATAGTATTTTTTTTTTTTCTCATAGCTGAGTCATTTGTTCTTAACATCTTTATTGGAGTGTAATTGCTTTGCAATGCTGTGTTAGTTTCTGCCGTACAACAAAGTGAATCAGCCATATGTATACCTATATCCCCTCTCTCTTGAGCCTCCCTCTCCCCCCGCCGCCCCCCCGCCCCATCCCATCCCTCTAGGTCGTCACAGAGCACAAAGCACAAAGCTGATCTCCCTGTGCTATGTAGCAGCTTCCCATTAGCTACCTATTTTACACATGGTAGTGTATATATGTTAATGCTACTCCCTCAAATCCCGTATATTAACGCATACAGATGGAATCTAGAAAAATGGTACTGATGAACCTAGTGGCAGGGCAGGAACAGAGACATAGAGGATGGACTTGTGGACACAGGGAGGGGGAGGGGAGGAGAGGCTGGGACGAATTAAGAGAAATTTAAAGTAGTATTAAAATATTTTTCATTTACAGCATACCTTAGGATTACAATGAAATTTACTGAATGTATCAGTAGTTACATGTAACTAATTCTTACAAAATTAAGATGCAATTGTTATATTTGGCATAGAAAATGATTACCCTGTAATCAGTTTATATGTGATTGCTTCAAAGAACCAGTATGGTGGTTTTACAGTATTATCTCTAAGTTAAAAAATGACGACTTCCAAACTTGGAACTGAACTCTGGCATTTCCAAAGGAAGAAACAATTAAACTCCGTGTTGAAATGTTTTTCTGAACGTATTTTCAATGAAGTGACGTATAGATACTACCCATAACATTTTTAGTTCTTCCTAAATACCCAACTAGAAAATATTGTTATGATTGGATAATGTAAAAAACAACCTAATGTTAAACAGTATCACAAAGTAAAAAAAAAATTCTGTTAGCACTTTAGGAAATGAACATCTTGACTTCCATTACTATAGATAAACAGTGTTTTTACAGAAATTTTAGTTAGTTACTGGTAGAGAAGATTTAAGAAACAACGTTAGCCATACACATATTTAATGAACCCTAAAGAATTAACAAAGGATAAATAAGAGCACAGTATCACTGGTCAATGTTGATAATTTTTTTTCCAATAAAGTACGGACAGTAATCTGTTAATTTTCTTCTCCTTGGAAAATTCATTTCTTTTGAGTGACCCAGACTACATCCAGGCTATGAAAAATGAGTTAAGAGAAGTATTATAATTTTAACAAGCATTTTGACCATTTGGGATTTTAAAGTATATCTGTATCTAGTCAATAAGCTAATTACCTAAATTGTACCACCCACCCCCAATTATGGCTATCATGCGTAAACACTTGGGATAAGGGAATACATTTTTAAAAAAATATACACACTACTGCATATAAAATAGATAACTAACAAGGACCTACTGTATAGCAGAGGGAACTCTACTCAATACTCTGTAATAACCTATATGGGAAAAGAATCTAAAAAAGAGTGGATCTATGTGTATGTATAACTGATTCACTTTGCTGTACACCTGAAACTAACACAACATTGTAAATCAACTCTACTCCAATAAAAAATTTTTTTAAAGTATTACCAATTTAGCCAAGGGTTCTCAAAATGTGACCCTGAAATGGATAGAGTCACTGTCACCTGGGAACTTGTTAGAAATGCAAATTCTCCAGCCCTACCCCAGACCTTCTTCTGAATGTGAAACAGAAGGATGGGAGCCTCCAGATGACTCTGATGCAGGCCAGAGTTTGAGAGCCACTGGTCTAGGCAGTAGAATATATTTAACTCCTACTGTTAAAAGTAGAATTTCTCTCCACCCTAAAAGGCAATATGCAAAGTTCCTAAAGGCAGAACCAGCATTTTTGTTAGGCAACGGGCGGCACCCACAGTGACTGTACCAACCTCAGTGGCGGTGGTTTCCCCATCAGCCGCGGTGTCCGTGCGCTCACTGTCGGTCTGTGGATCACAGAGGTGATCAGGTTCCAGGAGGAAGGCAGGAAGAGAAAACAAACCATCTCGTCAAGCGGGCATGCCCGGGGCCGACAGTTCAGTCCCTTTTTCTGTGATCTGTATCGCACTACCTTCCCAACAAGAATGCAGGTTCAAACAAAAGCCAAAGAAAGGCCAGAGCTAGGTTCCATCAGCAGAGACACTCAGAGGAAGACCAGAGGCACACGGCCTGCGTAACCACAGGACGTGTATTAGCCAAGCTGACATGTCTGCTGCCACGTCATTCTTTCCCCCATTTTTAACTGAAACCCCGAGAAAGAGCTCCTAGAAATGTTTAATGCAAATAAAATTGCTGTCTATATATTTTTTAAAAAATTCTAGGAATAGGTCACATTTGAAAAGTAACTTAACATGTCAATTTAAATAAAAAACTACTATAAACAGTCACTGGACTTTCAGCCCCTCATTTATACCATTTTGGTAATTTGCATCCATCTAAGACCATCAGGCTGTCTGCATTACCTTTTAATTATAAAAAAAGCACAGGCCAGTGACTCACAGGCATATGTTTTATATATGAAAAATGTAACTCAATTCTCAAGTAGGATTGCTAACTAGATATGTTTTAAGACTATATGTTGTTTATTTCGTCCCACCCTCCAATAGAAAGAGGTATAGAGAAGTATGTAAGTAAATATCTCGTTCCAAAATAAACATTCAAATGAAGCAAATAATAGTAATAGTCATGAAAAATAAGGAGAGAAGGAGGGAGAGAGACATCTACTTGGACACAAATAAAACAAAGCACAGCATTTGACAGAGCCTAGGTTTTCAAGGGAGAATTACAATAGTAATTTCAAGACTGATTCTTAATCTGTATTTATAGCGGTTTATGATTTACAACAAAAACTTTTTTTTTCTGGAGGAGAGACGAGCCACAGCCATTGAAATTGGGACATCTCAACGTCCTATATAATATTAACTGACTTTCCCTTCTCAACTCCCTTCTCAAACTAGTGATTATTAAAAGTCCCTCGAGCAAAGTTGTGCGATTAGTAATTTGTCAACAAAAAATCCAAACTGGGGGCTCTAAGGTTGTGAATCTGCCTCTTAAAATAATCTCTCATTGCAAAGACCACGGATTACCAGTGGGAGGGCTGGGACAGTGTTCTTTATGTCTACATGACTCTGGCTGGGTTGAATTCTTGATCCTCTCCCAAACTTTCATTTTCTGTATTCCTAAAAGGAAAGGAGTTGGAACTCATGCTTGGCCTGTGCACCTGAGGTCTCCATCCTGGCAATCTGCTCCTGTGCCTAAGAGGGAAATCCTTTTCAGCAGGTTGGTAAAGAAAGCATGCTGAGAGCTTTCATGACCCGACCACCTTGGCAACACCTGGAGGGAGGTGGCTATTAATTTTCTTATCAGGGTGATCGCTGCTAGGGCATTAGCATGGCTTCACCAACTGACAGTCTAGGACAAGGCCCGTTTGATTTAGGAAGAGAAGCAGGTCACTGTTCAAGGGTATGGGATAACCCGAGGAAATTTTAGGCTTTCAAGAACAAATAAGAATGACTTGGGCTCAGTGTGCTAACTGGTTGTGTCAAAGGCCTCGAAAGTTCTTGAAAGTATTTCCCCTCCTACTTTGATTATTTCCCTTATGGCTTTAGAATTCACTTCAGCAGCTTTCCAGGCATCTTGGCACTGGAATTACCGCCATGGTTAAGAGTGAGGGGGTCTCAGGACAGACTGACATCAGTTCAAATCCTTGCTATTTGTTTAACTCTGTGGCACAGGGGGGCAGGTTTCATATTTTGATCCCAATTTCCTTCTTGGAAAATGGGGAAAATCATACCCCTAACTGTTATCAGGTAACAGATACTAAGTCTTTATGCAATGCCTGACACGTACACACAGCTAAAAATGCCTATAAAAATCATAAATATTGATATCAAAATAGTATTTCCTAAGTATTGCTATTATTTTTTTTAGCTATACACAAATAAATAGCAGCTTAGGCCATATCTAAACTCCCTCAACCCCCTACTCAGCACCTAGTCAGTCAGTCATTCAACTAACATAGCGCCTGATCAGTATACAGTTAATGACTTAAGTATTAAAGGCTGAATAAAGCAGCTTTTATAGCAACTTTTATTTATATAATATCCTATGTCTAAGAAAAACTGTAAGATGTATGGCATGCCATGGACTATCATATAATGTGTTTACACCATTTAAAATGTTAAATCAAGTGATCAATCATCTCCTCTAGACTTCACCCACCTCCTTTCTTGGTATTATCAAAAAATTCTTCACAAGTTGACACATAATTACAGTGAGCTAAATTCATCTTATGTCTCTGGACAGATGTAGATGATTTAGCATTCGGCCCCTCCTTATCTGACCAAAAATTCTAGAAGGACACATGAAAAAAAAAAAATAGCTAACAGCTCTGTAGTTTGAAATGATTACAGCTCTCTGCACTGGGTTTCACTCTTGAGAAGGGCTGGGACTAATTAAGCCACTACCACACGTGACAGATGTAAGCAGTGATGATAAAATATTTAAAAAGAATTAGAGTCATTAGTGATTGTGCAAAACCAAAGTGACGGAACTGAACCGTATGTTACAAAGTCACCCGGTTCAGCTGCCAAAGCACTTGAGGCCCAGGGAATAAAACAGGCCATGTCAACAAATGGCGAGTGTTTTTTTTTTTTTTTTTACCTGAATGACCTACATCTGAGTTCTCTAGCTCAGCTTGAACCAGAGCTCACAGCTCTTAACACCTGGGGTTGAGACGACATTGAACAGATGGCCAAATACAAAGTCATGTGGCAGGAGAGCCGTCATGGGTGACCGAGGCTGGAGCGGAGGACAAGAAAGGCCGCCTCGGCCAGAGCTGGTTCACGGTCTCAGAGGAGGGTTTACATGTGGGGAACACCAGCCACGTGGCCTCCAGCTTGCGAGGAGTAACTGCTGTGATTTGTTTTGCTGATGTAATGCAGACATGCCCAAGTTGAACATTAATTTTCATGCACTGATTACAACAAGATGTACACCCTGGATTAGGCACAAGATCTGTGTGGTTTGCTACATAAAAGTTCAGTTATTTAAAATGCAGAAAAACATAAAATGGCAATCTTTTCGCCTTCTGCTAGCTTGATGACTAGCTCCATTGCTAAAGGAACAAAGATGAGCAGGTTGGAAACCAGCTAATATTATAAACAGTTTTTGTAGATAATATTGTGTTCGTAATAACTGTAGGTTTGGACCTACATTATTTGATTATGTTGCTACTATGAGAAACGGTGATATTCAAACCTAGGATTTAGAGTGGTTTTCCTCTTAAAATATTTTCCACGTACGAAAATAGTTACACATAGATAGATTTGGAGCTAAGTCACAGAGGATCCAAGAACCTTGCAAAGGGCTCTTAGGCAACATCAAATTGAAAAGCCTAAACTTTCCCTGAGAACATCTTGGAGACCATTCCCACTTTTTCCCTGCTGCTGCAAAGAAACAGTCATAATACCACTAAATATAGACACGTACCTCACAATGCTATCTACTCACAGGTGCAGCTCGGATTACCATTTCTAGCTGAGCACAGAACTGAATAGACTTTCCTTTTTTAGTGTTGCTTTGACTTTGTGATTTTCTTTTTTAATGCTAGGTGTATTGGGTTTGGCTCCTGACAGAAAACCCTCCAGAACTGCTGGAGGAGCGGGGGGGCAGGCGTAGGCAGGAGGGTGGGTTTCAGCCAGGGGCCTGTTGGCACTTCTGTTCTTTTTTCCCTGCGTTCTATTTAAAGGCTGCACAAAGGGAAACCGCTGGGCTGGAATGGAGGAAAAGGGGAGCAATTAAGAGGAAACACTACCGGCTAGGACGTCACCTCCCCCAACGGCTCGGATGAGGGACGGGGGACTGACAGGCAGCCTGCTTTCACGGATGGAGGCTGAAGGCTCAAGTCCTTTCCTGGTCGCCAGCCGCAGAGGCCCATCCAACTTCCCCAGCCTCACGCCGGAACTGAGAGAATGGGTGCCACCCAACACATTCCTTGGCGTTGCTCGTGTTCATGAAATTTCAGCCCATTTTTACAGCGTGTGGAAACCTAACAGGAGTCTTTCCTGATTGTGTTTGGAAACTGCTGTTTTCAACTGCCGCTCTTTCTGGTCCTGTCTCTGGCCCTGCCAATGACCAATGGCACTGAGCGTTTTAAACTGCTCAGGCCCCTCTTTCTGACCCAACACACCCACGGGATCGGGCTCCCCTCACGGTGTAACAGTGACGGTCTGGCAATGACAATCAAGGAGCAGCGGGGGCATTTCAGAACCTCCAGGGAGGAGAGGGAGGCATTTACAGTTTTGGAGAGCTGCCCCGAGGGTGATGATGCACCTCGACGGCGGTGCTCTCTCCCGCCACGCCCTGAGCATCCTTTACCTGGTGCGCATCACCACAGTGCATCATTACAGCAGGGTACATTTTGGTAACTTGCCGCCAATCTAGTTGAAAGTTACTCATCTGTCTTCTGTGTCATTTCCTTTATTGAATGAGAACCGAACAGAGCTTTTAAGTCGACCCTGAGTTCTTACGTAGCTAACGGGTTATTTATTTACAATTGGCTCACGGCTGAGTCCTTCCCCACCCGCTGGAGTCGGTGGGTGGCAGTGCGGTTCCGGGCCGGGCTCAGCCTGCTGCATCCACATGGTGTTGTGCCTAACCCCGGGGCCGGGTTGCATCCCCTGCACACAAAACCTCTGCACAGATTGGCACAGACGATAAATGAGGCTCTGAAAGTAGGACCACTATCACAGCAGCCGTCTGAGACCGTTTCGGACCGCGGCCCCGAGCACGACAGGGACGTGTGTTCTATGCCGCGGTACACACCTCTTCCTCTGAACTGTCACTCGGGTCATTGTCTAGTGAGGCACTCAAGGAGGCCGCCTTGGGCTCCAGGCAGCAGAGGCACAGAGCCAGAGGGAAGGAGAGAGTGAGGGCGCATGGCACTGAGAAGGAGGCGGAGAGCAGGAAGGAGAGGAAGAGGACGCAGGGCACCAGAGAGGGCGAGCGGATGGGGAGGCAATGCCGCAAGCTCTGGGGCAGGAGGTGGCTCTCGGAAAGGTTGGGGAAAGACAGGTAGCCATCGTCATCCAGGAGAGAGGGGAAAGACTCGGGGAGTTGCAAGGAGAAGGAAAACAGCGTGGCCCCTCTGCCCGGCTGCTGTTTGCAGCTGAAAGCCACATCGTGGTCCCCCAGGCACGGCTTCCCTCGGCCTTCAGAGTCCGAGGCGGGCTCCCCGTGCAGGTGCCCGGGGTCTCTGGCCGGCTCGACCCCCGGCGGGGGGGGCCCGTTCTCCTTACACCTCCTGCGGAGCCCTGTGGGAGATGCAGGGGGAGAGCGGGCTGATGGCGGGGAGGGGGGACATGAGTCAGTGCCAAGCCCGGGTGACTGATGTGAGAGAGACAGAGACAGAAAGCAGCGAACAGAGGTGCAAAAGGACAAAAAGAAAACTGCAATTAGTTAATTTTCTTATGGGTACCGAGAAAAAATCGTCAAACAAGAATTTCAGCACTAGGGTTGTTGGTGAACTTTAAAGCATTCAAGCTGCATGCCAACGCTGCCACGAATGGCCATCGACTTCCCATTAGACCCTCAAGTCAAACATAGGGTGGGCTTGAAAAAAAAATCAGAACCGAAGATACCTGTGGGTAATCTCAATGACTACGTTTCATATGATCCAAAACTTCTGTTTAGACCAACAACTCTAGCAATTTTTAGGATGCTGAGAGCAAATGTAACTCTCTGATAACTTAAAACCAAGACTTTCAATAACTTCTCCTAATCTCCAGCTACCAGATCTGTTACTAGGGTTCAGTTAGATGAAAATGACAATGAATCCAATTTTTGATTATTAAAAACAAAATCTCTAGCATTACTTTTCCTTGGTTAGTCAGTTATAGCCAAAGCAGGTGGGTTTCCAAATCAAGAAGTTTCTGACCCCACTCCTACCCGTAAGCAGCTCCAATTAGGGAATTCCACAGTGAACACCGCAGGAACCTTACCTCGCCATAAAGCACCGAGGCTCTTTTGAAAACTCCTATTTTGGCCCGTTACCCATAATGGACACGGGGAGCTTAAAGAAGTGGTTTCAAATGAGCTAACCAGCAAAAAAGAATGTGTTTTCTTGTGATGTGGTTTATCAGCATTTACTTTGTATTACTTGTGGACCATAAATAATAGAAAGATACAATTTCCCCACCTTCTGGTTTTTCTTAGAGGAGCGGTAGGCTTAAGCTGCCTAGTTTGAGTCCTTAAGGGGACGATCAAGGCAGGCATCCCCACAACAGTGCTCCTGGGGAGGGGCATGCAGGCTTCTGCAGGGCAAGTAAGGTTCTTTACACCCTTCCTGGTCCCCGCAGTCTCCGTGACCACAGCCAGCTTTCTCTGCAGGTGGTGGAGGGATGCTGAGCGAGAGGGGTGGGAGAGGCAAGCAAATGCCAAACAGGACCCAGGGCCAGCGTGGAAGCTGCTATAGCCGAGTTCAAGACAAGGTCACCTGGAGCCTGAAGATGACTGAACTTCTGCTCGTGTGTGTGTGTGCGCGCGCGCGTGTGTGTGCGCGTGTACTCAAATGCGTGTTTCTGCCTAGTGTCCTGAGAGCATGGACATTATCTGGCCTGCTTTGTGACGGTTATCCAACCCTGACTTGGTAAATATAGAGACAGAGGGTAAGAAAATGCACAAATAAAATTATATCATGGATCTAGTAGAATGTAGAGGTGTCTCTTTGTTGGTATCAGACAAGTATGTCTTTTCCTAACACTCACATCTGACATTAAACGCTGTGTCTTAAACAAGACCCTGCACAAATCTCACTGAGCTGAGGATAATGTACAAGTTACACGCCGCCTCCTGCCCGTGGAGGCTGCCCCGTCACCTGGGGTGATCGTTAGTGGGGAAACACTCCTCCTCTCAAAGGAATCTAGGGACCAGTTGCTTAAGAACTATTTTCAGTAATACATTTTCATCTTGGTTAAAAAATGAGCGCCCTCTACGTTACGTTTTGAAGATAGAGAAGAATGAAATGACGGCTTAATCTTCCATGTTGCTGATTAGAGTGGTTTTTAGAGCGGCTTTTTTTTTTTTTAAATTAATTTTATTTATTTATTTTTTGGCTGTGTTGGGTCTTCGTTGTTACGCCAGGCTTTCTCTAGCAGTGGTGCGCGGGCTTCTCATTGCGGTGGCTTCTCATGTTGCAGAGCATGGGCTCTAGGCACGCGGGCTCCAGCAGTTGTGGCACGCGGGCTCAGCAGTTGTGGCTCGTGGGCTCTAGAGCGCAGGCTCAGTAGTTGTAGCTCACGGGCTTAGTTGCTCCGCGGCGTGTGGGATCTTCCCGGACCAGGGCTTGAACCCGCGTCCCCTGCATTGGCAGGCGGATTCTTAACCACTGTGCCACCAGGGAAGCCCTAGAGTGGTTTTTAAAGACAGCTTTGCAGTGGGAGAGATGTAGACAGCCCTTCAGCTCCTTCAGCACAAGGCCTCAGCTACGGCCTCTCAGAAGGCATCAGGGTCACACTGCTGGCTTCTCAGAGGCTCCGACTCTAAGAGAACAGTCTTCTTGGTCTTTCTAATCTCCCATGGCATAAATGGCACCAAGTGATGCTGGCTTAGGGCTCCATCTCATGTAAACAAATCGCTGATCTTTTAAAATCAAACAAAGTGGGACTGGATCGTTTTTGGAGCAAACGACAAGTCATTTACTTTTACGGGGAACTTGATCATATTTACACATCCCTCAGAATGGAGTGTTGGCCTAGGCGACTTTCAGAAATCATGGGACACATTGGCTTTTCAAGTATATCATCTTCTGATCGTGACCTAGTTAGAACCCGCCTTAACTGAAAAGAGTGTAAAAACAAAATTCAGAACAAAGCACATTTTAACAGCAAAAGCGATCCAAATATCCTTCCATTATGTCCTATCCTGTTTTTATTTTTGTTTTTGGCAAACAAATAATCTTGCCCTAAAAAAGGATGATGGATTGGGTCATTGGGATAGTCTAACATAAACAGAATGATGATACGTTTGCCAATCTGCCTATTTAGAGGTCACTGTTAAATTCTTATCCAAAGGAGCATTTTTCTACAGAGTCCCAGCTGATTCTCTGCTCTGTAACTCTGCATCTGAAGAGCCTGTGGGCAAAAGAGCACTTCTGAATCAAATTTATCTAAGTTTTAGCATAACCTCTAAGTTATACGGCATTATTATTCTGCTGTTTCCTTTCACTCTGTACTCTGTACATTCCAAGACCCACTCTTGTTTTTCCATTATTATTATGTATAAACCTCCCGGCGTGTTCTTTGACTTTTAGGAAGCTGCTCTGCGATATACAAAACCCCAAACCAGAAGCAGGTTGTCTACATGTTTTTTGCCTTTCATTTTCCTGAAAAGCTGCTTTATAGTGATGGACCTCCAGAAATAAACATAATATTTAAAAATAAATGGACTTTTGGATGAAATGAAGTGACCAAGTTCAATAAATAAAACACCCTGGAGAAATAACTGCCAAGTTCGCCCTCCGTCTTCCCTTGCAAACTTCGGCTTTAACATCCCTTTTCCAAAACACATCCACTGGCTACTCTGATGATTAGGTTAAGATGATAAGACTGAGAGAGAGAAACAGTGGAAACAGTGTATAAAAGTACGCAGGCTGTGGTCACTCAGCTACCTGCAGTCAGACGAAGGGCAAAGCAATTACTGTGCATCTAGACAAATACACAGCCCTGGGTAGGAGGATGGGGCCAGAAACAAAGAAAACAGCTTTAGTGACAGTTCTGAATTGTGAGCCCAAACAGAAAAGTGTAATTCACTACCAAACGTATTTCTAAGATCTAGAGACAGGACAGCTGTCCTGAAACTCTCACGTAGCACCTCAGTTGTTCAATAAGAATTTCCCGAAAGTTAGAAAGGGCTTTTGCAGAGGCAAAGTGTTGACAGAGGACATACTGATTTAAAAGTTGACAACATGAAGGTGACTAATGCTGAGGTACGAATTAGCCTAAGTCTGATCCACATTCCTGGCTTACATCCTCAGTCTTATTCAGGAGTTCTTTAGAGAGTGCACAGGTCGGGGAGACAGCGGGGAGATGTACCTTTCCCTCAGGCCGTATGGCAGCGACGGGTGTGGATTCCTCGGCCTTTTGCCGTCTGTCGTCTTCCTCGCCCTGCTCCTCCTCTGCCTTTTTCTCCGGAGTCACAGTGGTAATCAAGTTGGTCTGAGAGATGCCCTTTGTTGTTATGTACTGGCCAGTACCAACCTCTGCAGCAGACACAGAATCCTTCATGTATATTTCATGGTTTTCATTCACTGATGCTAAAAGCAAATACAATTGGAGAAATAAAGACCAAAACAGTTAAGTCAGAAGACAGATGGATGCTACTGATTGCTCCCATTAGAGCAAAAATCCCCCCATAAAATACCAGGTTTCTCTTCAAAAGACAGGTCAGCCCTGCAGGTACTCTCATCTAAGCAACGCCACAGATTCATCTTTCTATGTCACCCACAACTGCGTTTAAGCGTGATTTCAATGCTCATCTCTCAAAGCCACCAGAATAATTTCCATCCACTTCTAAGGCTCTCTGGTGAGGACGTGTGTGAGGGTGCAGGTGAGTGGAAGGATGGGGGGCTGAGTGGCCACCGAGGCTGTTACCCACAGAGTAACTGGCGGGGCGCCAGCACCAGACACTTGGGGCAAGTTCCACAACTAACAGTAGACAGACAACTGTCCTAGTGCACTTGACTTTCAACAGAGCTTTGGAAGTGCCACTCGTTAAGGGGCCACTGAAATGTTTTCTATCACTTCTACAATATAAAAGCTACATAAGTAATAATGAAAAGTAACCATTTACTGGGCAGAGATTACAGAATCCAGATGGTAACTCTGTTCAACTGAAATGCAGAAATGTTTTAATTTCTACTGTGCTTTAAAAAGACTACCACGATATGCATACATTCATTCATCTCTAGTATTTTGGGAAAACAAGACAAACGTTGCTAATGAAATTCATGCAAGTGCAAAGCACGCAAACATAAGAGATAACACCCAGCCTTTCGTCCCAGCTAAAATGTCTTAGTGAAAGAGATGCTTAATTTAGTTAGACTTTTGAAATCTGGTACTCATTCTTTTAGGTTTTAGGTACCATAAAATTTACTGAAATTTAGAAAGGCTGCTTTTCAAATCATAGGCAAAATTTAATCTGCTTTCATATTTTAGGAAGTTTAAAACATAAATGTAAGAAAAAAACTCTGAAATCCTTTGAATTTTAAACTGTTTTACTAAAATACCTTCACTAAGATATTTTACATCTCTTACTGATGATGAAAAAGCTCGTATGAGACACAGTTTCCTAAAAGGCTTGTTAGGCTGTTCTAATAGAAGATGCAACCTTGCAAAAAGCAGTTTCTATTTCAACATGCAGCCATGGCCCCCCGAGCAGCAGCTCAGAAAACATACGAGAATTGGCAGGACCCCAAAGAGTGAGAGACAACACATACTAACATCACTTTTGGGCAGGGAGAAAGAGACAGCATGGAATTAGTACATTGATTTCACAATTGTCTTCTGTCTTCTCAGCAATCATTATCACACAGAAGGTCATAAGGAAAACAACATTCACAACAAATGTGTCCCCTTGGGTTCACATCGCAGGACAGAGTGGATGACATTCGGGGAAAAAAGCTGTGATTCTACACAAGTTCCTCCGACACTGACTTAGAGAACACACACTAGTTTACACAGACTCTTCAAGGAAGAGGAGATGAGGCGCCGCCAGAAGAAAGTGTCATTGTCAATGTGAATTTTTCAGTATCTTAATCTGACTCAAAACGGTCCTAATAAACAGTTTTTCCCAAAAGTTTGGCTCTCAGAGATTCTAAAAGCGGGACATTGTTATAGAAGGTAGAGAATGGTAAGACTGACTTCCTAGGCCAGCTCACAAAAGCCTGAAGAATGATTATCAATATACCTACTGAGATCATTATGATTACATCTGTAACAAGACTTTCACCTACGTCTTATTCACTCTTCGCAACGACCTGTCAGAGGTGGCCTTGATCCCACCTTACAGATGATGACTAAAGCTGGGACCTACAGACAGTACATCATCCACCCACCGCTGTACAGACAGACGGTCTGGACGTCGGTCTGAACTTATCTACGCTAGGTGAGCATTCTTCCCACTTCGCTAATATAATTTATAACAACGATACAGCACTAATAACACAATTTTTACTTCCTCTAAGTATCCCTTTGGGACAGTAAAGTCTTCTAAATCAGGTGATCCAGGGAGTTCGCTTCCCTACAAGCCGCATCGGGGTTTGGCGAAATGGAAGGAAGAACTGAGACTCCGTGGTGAGTGGGCAGCAAAAAACGGTCAGGAGGGACGTGGTACCAGGCACCTGTAACTTTTGTTTCTATTTATGCTTTTGCTTATTAAAATTGTACACACATGCTAGAAACTTCTCTTTTGATGTGCCCAGGATAAGTCTCCTATAAAACATCTCACCCCCAAGGCACTCTGGATTAGGAGGCAGAGGTCTGGCCACAGTCGTGCCCTGGTGTCTGGGGGGAATGGTTCTGGGGCCCCTGTGGATAACCAAAATCCACGGATGCTCAAGTCCCTTACACAAAATGGTGTACGTAGTACAATGAATACAGTTGGCTCTCGGTGTCTGTGGGTTTCACATCTACGGATGTAGAGGTTCCGACTTTCCTACAGCTGCCATGTCTTGGAGCAGAAAGCACATCTGCACGTAACTCTGGACAGCCACAGAAGACTGCTCCACAAAACAAAAGCCTGCAAAAAACTCATTATTATGCCTTAAAAATGCTACTTAAGTGACTCAGTGACTCTCTCCCTGTGGTACTCACACATCTGACTTAACGGTACAGAATATTTACACAGTAACGCTCTCCCAGTCCATCTGGTGTAGTAATTAATATTAACCAGGACAATTTCCTTAGAGCCCTTTGCTCTGTTATTTGAATGTCATCCTTTCTATCAGCTATTATTCACTGACTGATACAAGTCACGTTTCATTCATAACACTTTTAAAGAAACAGAGATCAATCTAATGCACAGTTTTCTTTCGGAAACAAATCATCTAAAACCAACCTGATAATCACTTACCATCTGCTGAAACGAGAAACAAATTACTTGTAAGTATGTGATTACTATATCTAGAACGAGGGCACCCTTCTCCAAATGCAGGTGCCAGCTTATGAAGGCTGCTTCACTCCCCAAGTACCATTCTTCTGTGTGATTTTATATAAACCCACCAAGAACAGACATTAGACTCACACAGGCACCTTTTTTGGGGGGTTGGTTAAAATTTGCCACTCAGCCAAAGACCAACAAGTGCTCTTCCTTTCATGCTGTCGCAGAGCACCTGTGTCCATCAAAGGCTCACGATGGCTTCACGCTGCTCGGTGGCCACTAGCAATCATTAAGGGGAGCAATGCCTACCTCCATCCAAGCTGCGAGACATGGTATAACGTTTGCTGGACGAACGTTCGAAGTAAGGGGCTGGGCGGTCTATCAATGCACTAGCTCTTCTGGTTTGGGCTTGTGTTCTGCCACTGTAACGAAACTTGGAACCCAAGGTAAGGAACTTCTTTGGAGGTGCTTCTGGTAACAACAGTCTGGAGATATTAAAGGAAAAACATCAGCAAGACCATTAAGCCACATACTAAGAATGCTAACTTATTACTCTGCTCTGAAAGGTAAAGTGCTTTGTGTACTCAAGGTTGAACCCCCAACCTGCCATTCAGTGAACCTGATTTTACAAGGGAAAAAAAATCACTTCACACAGTGTATATCAACTAGGGATGCTGTAGAGAGGCTAGAAGCAAAACAGGGGTGGAGTTGGACTAGATGAATTCGAACATCCTATGGAACTGGAGAGTCTGTGGTTCTATAAACCCAGAGATCAATTAAGTAGGTGATGTTAGTGAAGAACAGTGATAATTTATTACTTTGTAGACACAAATCTGAGGGCTTTAGTACTTACTGTATGTGGGCAAAGGGGTGCATGGTATTGAAAAGCTACTGAAAGAGTAAGGAATGGATTGGACATCTGAAGTGGATGTTCTAGAAAAATAATGAAAAACCACTAAAGATAATGAAGGGGAGATGAGACAGATAAGTATCCAACAAATTAAGGAAAATCCTTCAAATTTAGTCAGAAGTTCTTTTAGGATTTATCAAGAAATCTGGTGGCAACAAACTTGAAGGAATAGAAAGGATCTTGTGGTCACATTCTTCTTTCCAACAACCTTTTATCAGTGTAGGTGATTCCAATCATTCTAATTCTTCCTTAGGAAAAACCAAAATGATCTCTACCCACCTGAAAAATGTATGGTGTTCCACACACACTTTCCATAAACGCTTGGCCGCTCTATGGTTGGGCAGCTTAAACCCGATGGTGCTTTCAAATTGTTCAAACTAAATTTAAAAGACATATTGAAGAGTAGAGTGAAGTTTGGAATCATAAATAACATGAAAGCAAATAATATACAAAGTCAAAATACCACCCACAAATTTTTTCTTGACTCCCTAAATCAATTGCTATACACAAGATTTCATGCTATACACATTCACTCATTAAAAAAAAATTCTTGGGCTTCCCTGGTGGTGCAGTTGTTGGGAGTCCGCCTGCCGATGCAGGGGACACAGGTTCGTGCCCCGGTCCGGGAGGATCCCGCGTGCCGCGGAGCGGCTGGGCCCGTGAGCCATGGCCGCTGAGCCTGTGCGTCCGGAGCCTGTGCTCCGCAATGGGAGAGGCCGCGGTGGTGGGAGGCCCGCGTACCGCAAAAAAACAAACCAAAAAACCCAACTCATATCTATCTCCTTAAAATGCTGCAGGTACAGACAACCACATTATGCATGTAGTAAATGTTTCATGTACAAGGATGAATCTTATGAAAACTAAATGCGAAAAAAGAAGAATATTTGTATTCCTTCCAGAGACCAATTTGTCCTGATCTGATTTCTAAGCCTAATCGTCATAGTTTCTCTCTGACATCATGACTTCAGCTGGAACACACAGAAATGAATAAAACGTTTACAGTCTACAGCATTCTCAGGATGACATTTCCTCCTTGTATCTGGTCTGGAAATATGCACATATCCTAGGTATTTGATGACTTGGTATCAGATACTGCTGATTTCATTTGTGCATTCTAATATGGATGATCATGTTAAATGCTAACATCTCTCAATATTATACAGTCGTCCCTCAGTATCCAAAGGGGATTGGTTCCAGAACCCCTGTGGATACCAAAATCTGTGAATGCTCAAATCCCTTACATAAAATAGCATACTATATATGCATATAACTTATGCAACCCTCCCATATACTTTGTTTTTTTTTTTGTTTTTTTTTTTCTTGCGTTATGCGGGCCTCTCACTGTTGTGGCCTCTCCCATTTGCGGAGCACAGGCTCCGGACGCGCAGGCTCAGTGGCCATGGCTCACGGGCCCAGCCGCTCCGCGGCATGTGGGATCTTCCCGAAACGGGGCACGAACCCGCGTCTCCTGCATCGGCAGGCGGACTCTCAAGCACTGCGCCACCAGGGAAGCCCCTCCCATATACTTTGAATCATCTCTAGATTACTTATAATGCCTAACACAATGTAAATGCTAGGGAAATAGTTGAAATACAATGTGAATGCTACGGAAATAGTTGCCTGCATGCAGCAAATTCAAGTTTTGCTTTTTGGTACTCTCTAGAATTTTTTTTCCTGAATATTTTCAATCCATAGTTGGTTGCATCCACAGATGCAGAACCCTGGGATACGGAGGGCCGACTGTATAAGGTCAGGGATTGGGAGAACACATTTTCATATTTTTCAGCACGTAGAGTTCAGATGATACTCCATCAGCCATCTGCTTTTTCAGGGTGAGATAGCTAACTTCCTGAGTAATAGACTTTAATATTACTATGGCAGATACTCAATATTTTTTTTTTCTTTTCTGAAGACAGGATACATCAGGCCACCAGAGGGCAATCATCTTAAACAGTAAAAGGCTTCCCCCAAAGAGCTCAAACCCCCCAGACTACTGGTATAATCGACAGCAAAAGTAATTTATGTGGCAAAGAACCAAGGGGAGGGGTCCTGTGCGAGGTATGTGAACTTTAGCTATTCTGGACCTCTGTTTCTTGTTCACTGAGTGGGACTGGCCAGGGGGAGAAGGGGAAATACATCACGGGTGGCTCTAAATGCAGTTGCCTTCCCCATTTTCTCCCTCTCTCTGACGTTCCTGTCCAGGGACGGTCATGAAACTCACCCCCGTCCAATGGACCCAGTCAACCGACAAGCCAGAGGAAGGGACCTTGACTAAACCATCCTCCATTTATTCATCCTGCATCTCACATGGACGACACGCCATGCTAAGGCCAGGGGTCTTACAGAAGAGTCAGCTAGCTCTTCCCGGACGAAGCGGGAAGCCGGGAAGATTCTCTTACTGCTCTGTCCTGCTCAGCACAAAGATGAGAGAGATCCCGGCACTTTTTGAACATTTCTCTCTCTCTCTCTCTCTCTCTGGGCTCTGTATCCACTTCTTCCAACCGCTTCAGAGCCTTCGTGCCACCAGTAATTCCTTCTCATTCTTCTCAGCCCTTGAATATGGTTGTAAAAAAGGGGGGGAAAAACGACTTTCTCTGAGCGTGTTTCTGCGGAACCAGAATCACTGCTAAGTGTCAGGAAGGGAAGCCACTGTCACTTCACTCCTCGCCTTGCTGCCACCCGCCGGGGACTCTAGCTCTTTCCTGAACTCTTACTGCCGCGACAAGAGCTGATCGTCAAGTTCAACACACTTTCCTTAGTTCTCATCCGAGCACCTCCTCTGTCCCGTCTGGCACTGCTGGTGAACCAGGCTCCCTGAATCTCATCTTCCTTATTTATCATCCGTGACTGTTTCTGGCCCCTCTTCTCTTCTCTGGCTGTTTTTCCTCATCTGCCTCTGGTCCTTTTCTGCCTACCCCTCCCTCAAAAAGTGGTATTATCCAGAGTTTGTGTTTTAGAGTGTTCTCCCCTCTAACTTCCTTGTTCTTGGTAATTTCTTCCAGGCCTAAGGCTTTGAATAAAATGTATTATACAGCTGATGACACTGTTTAAATCTTATATTTCTTACTATGCAAGGATCACCCCCCCAAAAAAATCTGTCCCAAAAGGAATTTCAATCTTTTTTTCTGAAATTCTCCCTTTTTCTCTCTAGTAATATCATCACCATTGACTTCGCTCATGCAAACCAAAAAGCCTCTGATTACCCTGGACTCTCTTCTTTCCTCTTTTGATCCTTCCCCCATCCTGTCTCCAGGACCTACTGGTTCTGCCTCTGAAACCTCTCTCTCAAATGTGCTTCTCCCATTCTATTCCCACAGCCTCTGCCCTAGTTTAGATCCTATCACATCACATTACTAAGTTGCTAAATTTCATCCCAAAATATCCATCGAGTATGTCACATCCCAGTTTAAAGTTCCCATGGCTCACTATGGTCTCATGATGCACTGCTCCAACTTCCCCTTCTGGCCCCTCACGACACCTACGCTCATTTCACATCTACAGAATATTATCACACTTGCACCGTGATGCTGTAATTGCAAGTGTGTGAGTCTTCTCTGCTAAACAGAAACTCCCTATAGGACAGGAACAAGGTCGTATTTATCTTTCTATTCTCAATGCCCAACACAGTGCTTGGCAATATATAGATGCTCACTTAATGTTTCATAAATCAAACATATCTTGGTTATAAGACATGCAATCTTTAGGAAATATTAAAAAATGACTTTAATTTCAGATATTTATATGAAAAGCTCGTAGAGTATTTCAGTCTTCATAGACAAGTTTGATTTTATATTTACGTTAAACACGATTGCTTCCTTCATAGTCATATTCTTCAAACTTTTTTTGTACTGAGATATAACTGCCATATAGCATTATATTAGTTTCGGATGTATAACATAATGCTTTGATAGTTGTATATTTTGTGAAATGACCACCACAATGAGGCTAGTTAATATCTATTACCACGCCAAGTTACAAATTTTTTTTCTTATGAGAACTTTTAAGATCTACTTTCTTAGCGACTTCAAATATACAATACAGTGTTATGAACTACAGTCACCATGCTGTACATTATATTCCATACAGTGATTTTTGTTTGTTTTATGGGTTTTTTTTTGCAGTACGTGGGCCTCTCACCATCGCAGCCTCTCCCGCCGTGGAGCACAGGCTCTGGACACGCAGGCCCAGCGGCCATGGCTCACGGGCCCAGCCGCTCCATGGCACGCGGGATCCTCCCGGCCTGGGGCACGAACCCGCGTCCCCTGCATCGGCAGGTGGACTCTCAACCACTGCACCACCAGGGAAGCCCCCATACGGTGATTTTTAAATTGTGTTTTTCACCAGTGGTGAGGTTAACTCTGAAGACAGGAGACAATTCTATATTGTACCAGAAAATGTTCAGAAAGTAAATGAGCTGCAGTCTTAGAGCTTCAACTGCCTCCATTATATTAACTATACTAATTAGAACCTGGACATATTTATTATCTATTATGAGAAAACAGCAGATATTTACTATATATTATGTCAAACCACTAAGGAGGACAAAAGTTGACCACGGATGGATGCTTCTGCCTAAGGAGCAAGGATTAATTAACAATTTTGATTCTTTCATTAGCCTCTCTGATTGAAAAACAAAGGGGAGAAATACATTAGGCTACAGAACTTGCATAATTTATATACGGTGTCACTTGTTCTAATCTTTCTTATACTTTGATGCATGTTACCTCTAAGCTATTCCCTTTAGGGTACCATCAGATTTGGAGGACAAGAGAGGGGACACGGAGACAGATCAACAGGACCGATGGGAAGAAATCTATTCTTTATTCACAAAGAGGTTTAGCACCTGAGAGTTTCTTTTATACCGCAGCTTGAAAAATACAAAACATTATTCGTGAATCTTGATTTCCCACTGAAATATGTAAACAGAAAAGCCTTTCAATTAATGTATGCAGTGGGGAAAAACTAGAACAACAGAATAAAAAAGAAGAGAATATCTTATTTATTACTGTTTATTGGACAAACCTACAACAAGTTCTCTTAGGCATTTAGCTATAACTCATTATGTCCTGCCACGTTCAGAACGTGTGAGCAGGTAATTTAAATTTTTGTTTGCTCTTTGGTAACTGTCTTCCCAATGTACATGCAAACTGGGGTCTACTTACCTCTCCCGGCCGGATCTTAATGTAAAAGTTGCTCCGTTTGTATGAAATCTTTAGAACCTTTGGCCAGGCAAACCTGTTGATGCGTAGTCGGTCACGATATATCAACAAACCACTTGCACACACTCCTAACATGATTTCAACTCCTTCAGAATCCTGGAAAATGGCAGCAAGAAACGATGGATGAGCATCTCACCTATTTCCATTTATGGTGGGTACACTATTTAAGCCTCCAGGTCAGAACCTATAATTAACTACCTGCAGCTCTAATCTAAATATGAAAAGTACTGTAGCACTTTAAAAAATATTACCACTAAATAGCCTTTTGATGAAGGTATTTATCACTATGGAGATGTGTTAGTGTAAACTCTGTTCACCCACGTATCTTGGACTTACACAGCATGTCAACACTGCACACAGAGAGGGTCACCCAGGTGAAGGTGTGTTAGTAACAGTAACGATCAGAGCCTCAGTTCTTATTACTGAGTGCCAGACACGGCTCTGACCACTTTACATACATTGTTAATCTTCACTAGGATAATTCTGAGATAGCTGCTATTATGATTCCCACTTTACATGCAAGAAAACTGATGCACAGAAAGGTTAAGTGTCCATCCCAGTTGAATATGGGCAGCCTGCTTCCAGGGGCAGGACTTTTAACTAATACGTACACTGATAGAGAGACCCCCATCCTTTCCGATGAGTGTTTTGGGGTTTGTTCCTTTAAAAAGTCTTGATTCTCTGGGGGCTTCCCTGGTGGCGCAGTGACTGGGGGTCCGCCTGCCGATGCAGGGGACACGGGTTCGTGCCCCGGTCCGGGAAGATCCCACATGCCGCGGAGCGGCTGGGCCCGTGAGCCATGGCCGCTGAGCCTGCGCGTCCGGAGCCTGTGCTCCGCGACAGGAGAGGCCGCAACAGTGAGAGGCCCGCGTTTTTTTTTTAACTTAATTTTTATTATTTGTTTAATTATTGGTTGTGTTGGGTCTTCGTTGCTGCGTGTGGGCTTTCTCTAGTTGCAGCGAGTGGGGGCTACTCTTAGATGAGGTGTGCGGGCTTCTCATTGTGGTGGCTTCTCTTGTTGTGGAGCACGGGCTCTAGGCGCCCGGGCTTCACTACTTGTGGCTGGCGGGCTCTAGAGTGCAGGGTCAGTAGCTGTGGCGCACGGGCTTAGCTGCTCTGCGGCATGTGGGATCTTCCCAGACCAGGGCTCGAACCCGTGTCCCCTGCACTGGCAGGCGGATTCTTCACCACTGCACCACCAGGGAAGCCCTTGATTCTCTTTTTGTATACCATTACTGTCAGAGTAAAATTCGAATATAAAATAGTCTTTTTAAAGTACGAGCGTACTCCCCAACAGGACCCCAACACACACTCACCGCCCAGTGGTGCTCACTTAACCACTTGGCTCACATACATAAATATAGATGCATTTAATATATGCATATAGATTTCTTTTCAAACAAAAGTGGGATCATGCTATGTTTGCAACTTTCTTTTGCTGCTCGCACAGTCCATCTTTGGGTCATCTCCTAGGGATGTGCAATGAGGGGTCCCAGAGGTCATCAGAGATGTTATATAAAGCTCAGGAGACACCCCATGAGCAGTCTATGCCCCCTCAATATTGTGTCCCAGTGAAATTAGGGTAAAGTGAACATCTGTGGTGGTCTTGAGTGGGGTGAGAACAAAGGACAGAAGGTGGTGCTGTGTGTGATGTGTGGTCCCCACCCCCCGTGTCTCAATGGTTGTTGCAAGCAGGGTGTCATGGAGGCGAAGCTGAGGTCTGAGACACAATCATCGGCGGGGCTGTCCCGCTTTGAGTCACTGCAGCGCCAGCAAACGCGGGGAGGGAGACATGAAAGAATCCAAACTGGGGCTTCTGACTCATCTGTACGGGGGTGGGAGGGACTGACTTCCTAAATCCCGCCAGTCAAAGCACAAGATGAACATTTCCAGAATCAGAAATAAATATTTTGGTCCCTCTCTGGAAACTGTGAGGTTACACATACAATTTAACTGATTTTAAATGAAATATTTTCCCTTGGAAACATCACTCCACTAGACACGAAAATCACTCTATACAAGTGGAAGGACTTGACGGCAGGATATTACAACATAATCAGATTTGAGGGGAATTCAAAGGCTCCGCCACCATTTATCAAGGGCTTTAACCTGAAAGAGCAATTTACGGAGCTATGACCTGATGCTGGAAGTAGGGCGGTGCGGGGGGGCACGATGGACCCTGAGATCTAGCCGACCTGCTCCCAGGACCGCACAGGCAACCCCCCAGGTCCTGAGCAGAAATGTCTGCGTGAGCAGGGCTGCTGGAGTAACGGCTCCTTGAGTCACTTTCTTTGTGATGAAGAACGTTAAGTGTAGCAAAAAGCACTCTGGGCATTCACAACCTCTTCCATTATTATCTACTTTAAATCACTCCTTAGTATCTTTCAATCACAAGAAAGTGGAATCCGTTTGTGGGGAAGATGGGAGGCTCCTGCGATGCATCCTCCCTTGCCGTCTCCCACACACACTTCTCTGGGTCCCCACAGCATTAATATCGTCAGCACAGCCCGAGCCAGCGGTGCTGCCACTAACCCCATTCCTCTTCCTTCTCCAGACCCAGGCTGGTGGAGAGCAGCCTCTGTTTATCCTGCTGACCTGGCCACGTGGTCAGCACAGCGCCTGCCTAGCACGTGTTAAGCCACTACTTGTTTGCCGGAAGAAAAGGCAAACGAAGAAAGAAAATGGCAGGCATAAGTGGAGCTTAAAATTGATGAACGTTTCCATTTCATTCATGGCACAGCAACCAAAAAAAGGATACTTTTGATATCAAGGTTACTGCTGCAGCCCATAGCATTGAGGTAGTAGCTTGATAAATCTTCTGTATCAAAAGCTATAACCGGGGCTTCCCTGGTGGCGCAGTGGTTGAGAGTCCGCCTGCCGATGCTGGGGACACGGGTTCGTGCCCCGGTCCGGGAAGATCCCACGCGCCGCGGAGCGGCTGGGCCCGTGAGCCATGGCCGCTGAGCCTGCGCGTCCGGAGCCTGTGCTCCGCAAC